GTAAACATCGCCACTGGGGAGACAAAGGCGGCCGGGCGTGGTGCTGGCCACCCACCCCCTCGTGTGCCACAGTGCCGGCCTTAATAGGCGCTCGCTAACAGCACTTGCCCCAGCGGTCTGTGGCAGGCTACACGGACGGGGGAGGGGGGAGTCTTTATCTTTACACGTGTGGGCGGCAGGGGGCGAGCTGCCATCCCGATGTCTGGCCCGCGTTCGCCAAATACGGGACTTTGTTCAATTCCGTAAGCTGTCACGTGAGCATGTACGGAGGAAGCGCTTGGGGACGAGCGAGCGACGAGGCGTCGCTGCGGGGAGGAGAAGCGCCGTGGTGGTGGCGGCGGCGGTGGACGTCTCCGTGCCGTGTGCGGGCTGCCCCGGATCTGTTCACGGGCCCTTGTCCGGTGGTGGAGGGGTTTACGACACACGCACGCACAAAAAAAACAATTCGTGACCCAACAATAATAACGACGCCACCGTCGCACGGCATGTGTGTACCTTGAACTTCTTTCACACCGTACGTGGCCAACCGTGCCAATCGGAGGTGCAGTGTTGAGTCTATGGGCAGTGTTGAGTCTATGGGCAGTGTTGAGTCTATGGGCAGTGTTGAGTCTATGGGTAGTGTTAGTCTATGGGCAGTGTTGAGTCTATGGGTAGTGTTGAGTCTATGGGCAGTGTTGAGACTATGGACAGTGTTGAGTCTATGGGCAGTATTGAGTCTATGGGCAGTTTTGAGTCTATGGGCAGTGTTGAGTCTATGGGCAGTGTTGAGTCTATGGGCAGTGTTGAGTCTATGGGCAGTGTTAGTCTATGGGCAGTGTTGAGTCTATGGGCAGTGTTGAGTCTATGGGCAGTGTTCGTCTATTGGCAGTGTTGAGTCTATGGGTAGTGTTAGTCTATGGGTAGTGTTGAGTCTATGGGCAGTGTTGAGTCTATGGGTAGTGTTAGTCTATGGGTAGTGTTGAGTCTATGGGCAGTGTTGAGTCTATGGGTAGTGTTGAGTCTATGGGCAGTGTTGAGACTATGGACAGTGTTGAGTCTATGGGCAGTATTGAGTCTATGGGCAGTTTTGAGTCTATGGGCAGTGTTGAGTCTATGGGCAGTGTTGAGTCTATGGGCAGTGTTGAGTCTATGGGTAGTGTTGAGTCTATGGGCAGTGTTGAGACTATGGACAGTGTTGAGTCTATGGGCAGTATTGAGTCTATGGGCAGTTTTGAGTCTATGGGCAGTGTTGAGTCTATGGGCAGTGTTGAGTCTATGGGCAGTGTTGAGTCTATGGGCAGTGTTAGTCTATGGGCAGTGTTGAGTCTATGGGCAGTGTTGAGTCTATGGGCAGTGTTCGTCTATTGGCAGTGTTGAGTCTATGGGTAGTGTTAGTCTATGGGTAGTGTTGAGTCTATGGGCAGTGTTGAGTCTATGGGTAGTGTTAGTCTATGGGTAGTGTTGAGTCTATGGGCAGTGTTGAGTCTATGGGTAGTGTTGAGTCTATGGGCAGTGTTGAGACTATGGACAGTGTTGAGTCTATGGGCAGTATTGAGTCTATGGGCAGTTTTGAGTCTATGGGCAGTGTTGAGTCTATGGGCAGTGTTGAGTCTATGGGCAGTGTTGAGTCTATGGGCAGTGTTAGTCTATGGGCAGTGTTGAGTCTATGGGCAGTGTTGAGTCTATGGGCAGTGTTGAGTCTATGGGTAGTGTTGAGTCTATGGGAGTGTTGAGTCTATGGTGTAGTGTTAATCTATGGGCAGTGTTGAGTCTATGGGTAGTGTTGAGTCTATGGGCAGTGTTGAGTCTATGGGTAGTGTTGAGTCTATGGGCAGTGTTGAGTCTATGGGCAGTGTTGAGTCTATGGGCAGTGTTGAGTCTATGGGCAGTGTTGAGTCTACGGGCAGTGTTGAGTCTATAGGTAGTGTTGAGTCTATGGGGAGTGTTGAGTCTATGGGCAGTGTTGAGTCTATGGGTAGTGTTGAGTCTATGGGTAGTGTTGAGTCTATGGGCAGTGTTGAGTCTATGGGCAGTGTTGAGTCTATGGGTTGTGTTGAGTCTATGGGCAGTGTTGAGTCTATGGGTCGTGTTGAGTCTATGGGCAATGTTGAGTCTATGGGCAGTGTTGAGTCTATGGGTAGTGTTGAGTCTATGGGCAGTGTTGAGTCTATGGGCAGTGTTGAGTCTATGGGCAGGGTTGAGTCTATGGGCAGTGTAGAGTCTATGGGTAGTGTTGAGTCTATGGGCAGTGTTGAGTCTATGAGCAGTGTTGAGTCTATGGGCAGTGTTGAGTCTACGGGAAGTGTTTAGTCTATGGACAGTGTTGAGTCTATGGGCAGTGTTGAGTCTATGGGCAGTGTTGAGTCTATGGGCAGTGTTGAGTCTATGGGCAGTGTTGAGTCTATGGGCAGTGTTGAGTCTATGGGCAGTGTTGAGTCTATGGGCAGTGTTGAGTCTATGGTGTAGTGTTAATCTATGGGCAGTGTTGAGTCTATGGGTAGTGTTGAGTCTATGGGCAGTGTTGAGTCTATGGGTAGTGTTGAGTCTATGGGCAGTGTTGAGTCTATGGTGCAGTGTTAGTCTATGGGCAGTGTTGAGTCTATGGGCAGTGTTGAGTCTACGGGCAGTGTTGAGTCTATAGGTAGTGTTGAGTCTATGGGCAGTGTTGAGTCTATGGGTAGTGTTGAGTCTATGGGTAGTGTTGAGTCTATGGGCAGTGTTGAGTCTATGGGCAGTGTTGAGTCTATGGGTCGTGTTGAGTCTATGGGCAATGTTGAGTCTATGGGCAGTGTTGAGTCTATGGGTAGTGTTGAGTCTATGGGCAGTGTTGAGTCTATGGGCAGTGTTGAGTCTATGGGCAGGGTTGAGTCTATGGGCAGTGTAGAGTCTATGGGTAGTGTTGAGTCTATGGGCAGTGTTGAGTCTATGAGCAGTGTTGAGTCTATGGGCAGTGTTGAGTCTATGGGCAGTGTTGAGTCTACGGGAAGTGTTTAGTCTATGGACAGTGTTGAGTCTATGGGCAGTGTTGAGTCTATGGGCAGTGTTGAGTCTATGGGCAGTGTTGAGTCTGTGGGCAGTGTTGAGTCTATGGGCAGTGTTGAGTTTTTGGGCAGTGTTGAGTCTATGGGTCAAAAGAAAGCCCTCCCTTGGTGTGGACCAATCAATCAGTTTCAAGGACAATGCATCATATATTATCATAGTATGTTTTTTGTTTGCATTTTGACTGCAGGTATTGTGGTTAATGCAGACATGAATCCTTGTAAAAAGGTTTCAGTTTTGCCAGAAAAAAGGGGAAAAACCATATTATTACTGTATGGGTAGTGTTGAGTCTATGGACAGTGTTTAGTCTATGGGTAGTGTTAGTCTATGGGCAGTGTTGAGTCTACGGGCAGTGTTGAGTCTATGGGCAGTGTTGAGTCTATGGGCAGTGTGTACAGTGAACTTCTTTCGCACCATACGTAGCCAGCTGTGCTATTCGGAGGCGCGGGAGAAAGACAACACAAAGCAGTTCCAAAGGAACGAGTTCGTCAGTCTTGACGGCGATGATCTCAAAGTGCATCATATCTCCCAGTGGCTTCCTAACATCGTAAGGGGGGAAGAACGTTCCAGACGGGCGCCCTCAGAGAGAGTGCGACTCCGGGGACCCGGTGCCACCAACGGTTGTCCAAGCTCTGTGATCCTCTACGTCGCTTGATGAATTTCTATTTTGCCGTTTGCGCTTTTCGTTTTTGGTGCCGGTTTCTTAATTATTTTTGGCTTTTGCGCAGCCAACTGCGCATACCGATGTGATTTGGCGCTGGTGTATGAATTAATGTGCGGCGCTGTGGGGGATGCTGTTGGCATGGATGAGGCCGCTGTACGTGTGTGTGTGTGTATAAAAGGAAAGTATTATTATGACGTGAGAGCGCTGCTGGCGGTGGGGAGGGGGTCTGTACGCGGAACGTAAACCGTGGGGGGTCGCGAGAGGCCCAGCACGTGGGCCACGGAGTGCCGCTGTTCAGCCCGGCTGAATACGAGTACAGTGGGCGGGGGAGCGGGCGAGCAGGAGGGCGAGCGGGAGGGTGAGCTGGAGGGTGAGCTGGAGGGTGAGTGGGAGGGTGAGCGGGAGGGTGAGTTGGAGGGTGAGCGGGAGGGTGAGCGGGAGGGTGAGCTGGAGGGTGAGCTAGAGGGCGAGCTGGAGGGCGAGCTGGAGGGTGAGCTGGAGGGCGAGCTGGAGGGCGAGCTGGAGGGCGAGCTGGAGGGTGAGCTGGAGGGTGAGTGGGAGGGTGAGCGGGAGGGTGAGTTGGAGGGTGAGCGGGAGGGTGAGCGGGAGGGTGAGCTGGAGGGTGAGCTAGAGGGCGAGCTGGAGGGTGAGCTGGAGGGTGAGCGGGAGGGTGAGCGGGAGGGTGAGTTGGAGGGTGAGCGGGAGGGTGAGCTGGAGGGTGAGCGGGAGGGTGAGCTGGAGGGTGAGCTGGAGGGTGAGCGGGTGGGCGAGCTGGAGGGTGAGCAGGTGGGCGAGCTGGAGGGCGAGTGGGAGGGTGAGCTGGAGGGTGAGCGGGAGGGCGAGCGAGTGGAAGAGGGCGGCATTAGCGTGTAAAGAAGATCTCCGCGCTGCAGTCACGAAAATAGCGCGGCAATTAGCGCCGGGGCCCGGCAACTCAAACCTGGAGCGGCGTCGGCGGGGGGGGGGAGGGCAGCCCTGGCATTGGGCCCAGACGTGGGACGAAAATTTTTTTGTTTGACCGGAAGGAGCCCGGCCGCCGTCCAGCCTGCACGCGCCGGAGACGCCGGGTTCGGGTCCGGGCCGCTCATTTTACTCCGCGAAGACTTTGACGCGGAGCGGCAAGCACGCAAGAAAGAAATAATGATGCACGCACGTGCGTGCGTATGTGATATCGACGTATGTGCGTGGGTATGTGACATCGACGTACGTGCGTGGGTACGTGCGTGGGTACGTGCGTATGTGACATCGACGGGTTCGACCCCGACCCCCGCTGGACATTTGTAGCTTAGCGTGCGTCTCTCTCTCTGTCTCTCCGCAGCGAGGCGTGCGTCTCTCTCCGTGTCGCAGCCGCGCCTTCGGCCCGGGCGGCCGGCACGAGGAGGAGCGTCCCGGATCCCCTCGCCGCCGCTGCCGCCGCCGCCACCCCGCGATGAGGCCCAGGAAGTACGCGATGGTGGTGATGTCGCTCATGGCGGTGCTCACCAACTGCATCGAGGTGAACCGGGCGCAGGCGGAAGCCGACGACGAAGGTGAACGGGGCGGGTTGGTTGTTGTTTTGTTTGTTGTTGTTGTTGTTGTTGTCGTTGGGCTGGGGTCGCGTCAAGGCCAACGCGTCGTTAACCCGCCACGAGCCGGCGGCCCACCCGACACGGCCACCACTCGGCAAGGTTCGTCGCTTCAGACAAAACGCGGCACTTTCACTCGCGCACCACCGCTGTGTTGGGCGTAGTCACGAGCTGACGCGCTTTGTTGACGTGGCGAACCTCGCTCGTTGGGCGGTGGCAGCGGCGGCGGTGGCGGTGGCGGTGTTGGGTGACCGACGCATTTCTGTCGACGCCATCGAACACGTAAACATTCATTACAAATGACACTGCTCACGGAAGTCTACGACCACCGCTTTGTGGTAATCTGACGAAGGTTAAACCCGCGGCGGTTAACAAAAAACGGCGTCGACGTTGCCACCGGCGCCTCCTGCGTTACCGCCACTGCTGCCGCTGATTCTGGCTCGGCTCGGTTTGCTTCGGCGCAGGAAGACGAGTGGCCCCAGCCACCACCGCCATTGCCGTCACCACCACCACCGTCACCGTCACCGTCATCACCGCCACTACCGTCACCGCCACCACCATCACCGCCACCATCACCGTCACCACCACCACCGTCACCACCACCGCCACCACCGTCATCACCGCCACCACCGTCACCGCCACCACCATCACCGCCACCATCACCGCCACCACCACCACCGTCACCACCACCGCCACCACCGTCACAACCACCACCGTCACCGCCACCACCGTCGTCACCGCCACCACCGTCACCACCGCCCCAGCTAGAAGAGTTATCGGCATTGGCGCCACCAATCTTATAGCGTCGAGCGATGTTAGAGGAACGTGGCGCTGCTGTGGTAGAATATTAATTTATTCATACCGGAGTTGGAATCTGATGACCTGTAAAGCTCTTCTTTATAGAGAGGTCCCATCGGGGCACGGGGTCAGAACGTTAGAACAACAACAACAACCGCCATTCGCCACTAAGTGGCGGTGACGTCACCACGACGCTTGTGCCAGGCCATGTGCACCTTGAGGCCACGTGAAGTGTCGAACGCCCGCTGGCAGGAGGTCACGGGGCAGACCCAGCAGGTGCCACAGGTCGACTGACTGAGATGACTGGCTGATGCACCACCTGTGCCCCCTACTGTGCCAACCTGCTGTGCTTTAGCCACCCGACGCTCCGCTCGTTATTGTGAGTGCGCTCCTCCCCCCTCCGTTGTTGTTGGAGGCCTCCAACTGCCCAGTAGCATCCTTCACGAGCCTCCTCCACAGAGGCCGATCTTGACACCACTGGTACCAGTCATCGGCAAGTCCACTCAGCTCCACGTCCTCCTGTACCACATCACTCCATCTTTTCTCTAGCCCGTGCCGCGCCCGTTTATCCCCCTCGATCCGGCCGAACAAAAGCTGTTTTGGCATGCGGTGGCTGGGCATGCGGGCTACATGACCCAGCCAACGCAGCCTTGCCTGCCGGAGGAGTTCACCGATGGGACTTTGTCCAGATCTTTCAAGGATTTGTGAGCTCCTCACACATTCCAGCCTGGTTAAACCCAGGATGGATCGTAGGCAGGCCAGCCTAAATGTTTATGACCGGCGAAGATGTTCCATTAGGGGTGTCCACGTTTCGCAAGCGTAGAGAAGGGAGGGAATGACCGTGGCCAAGAAGACCTGAAGTTTCGTACGGAGCGATATACCATGTAGCTTCCACACAGTGTTACGCAACCGATGAAAAGACATTGCCGCTCGACTGATTCAGAGTGAGACCTCTGCTGTTAAACTGGAGCCGGTCATGAGCACACTGCCCAGGTATGGGAAACTCTCCACTCTCTCCACAACTGCCCATCACCGATTTGGAGTTGTGGGGGTGGAGTGCCCGATGGTACAAAATACCCAGGCAGGTGCTTCGTTTTGGTGGGGCTGATGGTAAGGCCCCATCTCTTAGTGACACATTCCAGTTTCAGCAGCAGCGCCTCCAACTCCTCCTCTGAGTGAGCCGCAATTACCAGGTCATTGGCATACATAACATGGTTGACCAATAGGGAGCCATCCCTTGACCGCACCGACATCGATTAGCCTCCCATTGTATGGAAATTCCTCCGGCACAGCCATTGAAGGCTTCACAGGCTACTTGGTCGAAATACAGGGAATGGCTCTGACTCCCGGCCACGTAGTTTTACCCGGGCCTGCTCACCATCATGATGGTCCTTAATGATCGTGAGCAGAGGGTCAGGGACTCCAAAAGCACGAAGAACAACCAAGAGCCCAGGCCTACTGATGGTATCATAGGCCTTGACCAGGTCAATAAAGCAGAGATGTAGGTCTTGTTGGAATTCCCTACACCTCTGCTGTAGCAGACGGACAGAAAATATGGCATCTGTGCAGGACCGCTCTTTCCTGAAACCGCATTTGGGCTCCGCAAGCCTCTCCTCAGCGTGCCTGGCAAGGCGATGTTGAATAATCCTTGCCAGGACCTTTCCCGGCACACTGAGGAGTGAGATGCCCCTGTAGTTGTTACAGTCTGTGCGGTCCCCCTTCTTAAAAAGGGGGACCACCAGGGCATCCTTCCAATCCTGCGGAACCCGTCCAGTGGTCCAGACTGTTGTTATGATGTCATGTGTGCCCGGTGCCTTTCCTGGTAGAAGAACAACAACAAACACAATCACACCAACACGATAGGAGTGCTAAGTGTAGGAAAGGTGAACAAATCACTTAAAAAATAAAAACAAATTAAACTAAACTACGTTTGATCTTACCAGGTAAAAGCCAAATGAGCTATTAGCTTATTTTTCAGAAGCCGCCTGGCCATCAACAAATGATAGCAGTGGCTTCTTATTCTTCTGCCGTACGGCTGCCGATGCATAGCCAACAACCACAACGTCACATCCAGGTTGGTGAAGGCAGCAGGAGACAGCGGAGTCGGTGTAGCATCATCAGCGCCGTCAGCGCCGTCACCGCCGTGATGTCTCGTTGGTGCGCGCCCCGCCCCAGGCTTCTGCTCGCTGGACGAGTGTGTCTACTCGGAGCTGGAGCTGCTCAGCTACGAGGCCGTGCGGGCGATCCACAACCAGATGGACGACGATGACGACGGCTCGGTGGACACCCAGGAGAGCGACGACGTGAGTCTCACACTCGCTCACACTCGCTAACACTCGCTCACACTCGCTAACACTCGCTCATACACTCGCTCACACTCGCTCACACTCGCTCACACTCGCTCACACTCGCTCACTCGCTCACACTCGCTAACACTCACTCACACTTGCTCACTCGCTCATACACTCGCTCGCTAACACTCGCTCACACTCGCTCACACTCGCTCACACTCACTCACACTCCCACACTCACTCCCACTCCCACACTCACTCACACTCGCTAACACTCGCTATCACTCACTCACACTCACTCACACTCGCTAACACACTCACTCACACTCACTCACACTCGCTAACACACTCACTCACACTCGCTAACACTCGCTATCACTCGCTCACACTCACTCACACTCGCTAACACTCGCTCACACTCCCATACTCACTCGCACTCCCACACTCACACTCGCTCACACTCGCTAACACTCACTCACACTCATTAACACTCACTCACACTCGCTAACACTCACTCCCACACTCACACACTCACACTCACTCCCACACTCACTCCCACACTCACTCCCACACTCACACACACTCACACACACTCTCACACTCTCGCTCACACTCGCTCACACTCACACACTCACTCGCTCACAGGCAGGGAGGGAGGGAGGCAGGCAGGGAGGGAGTTTGGGGGGAGGTGGAATGTTAGGCTCGCTACTTGTTTTCATGCTGGAGAAATCCGATGAGCTGTGAAGCTCTTTCCCGCAGACGTCCTCAGTGGTTGTTGTTGTTCCCAGTTCCTGCGCGAGGACATGAAGTACAGTGACCCCACGCTGAAGCACAGCAACTTCCACAAGGAGGACCAACACATCAGCCTGCAGGAGATGTGGCTCAGTTGGAGAAACTCAGAAGGTGAAGATCACCAGGGATCACCTCACACCATCGTGTCTCACCCTCGTGGGTGTAGAGACTCACACCCCCGTGCCTCACCCTAGTGTGTGTAGAGACTCACACCATCGTGTCTCACCCTAGTGGGAGTAGAGACTCCCATCATCGTGTCTCACCCTAGTGGGAGTAGAGACTCACACCATCGTGTGTCACCCTAGTGTGAGTAGAGACTCACACCATCGTGTCTCACCCTAGTGTGAGTAGAGACTCACACCATCGTGTCTCACCCTAGTGGGAGTAGAGACTCACATCACCGTGTCTCACCCTAGTGTGTGTAGAGACTCACACCATCGTGTCTCATCGTGTCTCACCCTAGTGGCAGTAGAGACTCACCCTAGTGGGAGTAGAGACTCACACCATCGTGTCTCACCGTGTCTCATCCTAGTGGGAGTAGAGACTCACACCACATGTCTCACCCTAGTGGGTGTAGAGACTCACATCACCGTGTCTCACCCTAGTGTGTGTAGAGACTCACATCACCGTGTCTCACCCTAGTGGGAGTAGAGACTCACACCATCGTGTCTCACCGTGTCTCACCCTAGTGGGAGTAGAGACTCACACCATCGTGTCTCACCCTAGTGGGAGTAGAGACTCACATCACCGTGGCTCACCCTAGTGGGAGTAGAGACTCACATCACCGTGGCTCACCCTAGTGGGAGTAGAGACTCACATCACCGTGTCTCACCCTAGTGGGAGTAGAGACTCGCACCATTGTGTCTCACCCTAGTGGGAGTAGAGACTCACCCTAGTGGGTGTAGAGACTCACCCTAGTGGGTGTAGAGACTCACCCTAGTGGGAGTAGAGACTCACACCATCGTGTCTCACCCTAGTGTGTGTAGAGACTCACCCCATCGTGTCTCACCCTAGTGGGTGTAGAGACTCACACCATCGTGTCTCACCCTAGTGGGAGTAGAGACTCGCACCATTGTGTCTCACCCTAGTGGGAGTAGAGACTCACACCACCGTGTCTCATCGTGTCTCACCCTAGTGGGTGTAGAGACTCACACCATCGTGTCTCACCCTAGTGGGAGTAGAGACTCACACCACCAATGTCTCACCCTAGTGGGTGTAGAGACTCACATCACCGTGTCTCACCCTAGTGGGAGTAGAGACTCACACCACCAATGTCTCACCCTAGTGGGTGTAGAGACTCACATCACCGTGTCTCACCCTAGTGGGAGTAGAGACTCACACCACCAATGTCTCACCCTAGTGGGTGTAGAGACTCACATCACCGTGTCTCACCCTAGTGGGTGTAGAGACTCACACCACCAATGTCTCACCCTAGTGGGTGTAGAGACTCACACCATCGTGTCTCACCCTAGTGGGTGTAGAGACTCACATCACCGTGTCTCACCCTAGTGGGTGTAGAGACTCACACCACCAATGTCTCACCCTAGTGGGTGTAGAGACTCACACCATCGTGTCTCACCCTAGTGGGTGTAGAGACTCACATCACCGTGTCTCACCCTAGTGGGAGTAGAGACTCACACCACATGTCTCACCCTAGTGGGTGTAGAGACTCACACCACCAATGTCTCACCCTAGTGGGTGTAGAGACTCACACCATCGTGTCTCACCCTAGTGGGTGTAGAGACTCACATCACCGTGTCTCACCCTAGTGAGAGTAGAGACTCACCCTAGTGGGAGTAGAGACTCACACCATCGTGTCTCACCCTAGTGGGAGTAGAGACTCACACCGTGACTCACCCTAGTGGGAGTAGAGACTCACACCATCGTGTCTCATCGTGTCTCACCCTAGTGTGTGTAGAGACTCACACCATTGTGTCTCACCCTAGTGGGAGTAGAGACTCACACCATCGTGTCTCACCCTAGTGGGTGTAGAGACTCACACCATCGTGTCTCACCCTCGTGGCTGGAAAAAGGTGTCTATGTGCGGATGTCTCTGTGTATGTGGGTGTCTCTCTGTGTGTGTGAGTGTCTCTCTGTGTGTGTGGATGTCTCTGTGTGTGTGTTGATGTCTCTCTGTGTGTGTGGATGTCTCTGTGTGTGTGGATGTCTGTGTGTGTGGATGTCTCTCTGTGTGTGTGGATGTCTCTCTGTGTGTGTGGATGTCTCTGTGTGTGTGTGGATATCTCTGTGTGTGTGGGTGTCTCTCTGTGTGTGTGGATGTCTCTCTCTGTGTGTGGATGTCTCTCTCTGTGTGTGGATGTTTCTCTGTGTGTGTGGGTGTCTCTGTGTGTGTGTGGATATCTCTCTGTGTGTGTGGATGTCTCTGTGTGTGTGTGGATGTCTGTGTGTGTGGATGTCTCTGTGTGTGCGGATGTCTCTCTGTGTGTATCTCTCTGTGTGTCTCTCTATGTGTGTGTGGATGTCTCTGTGTGTGTGTGGATGTCTCTGTGTGTGTGTGGATGTATATCTGTGTGTGTGGATGTCTCTGTGTGTGGATGTTTCTCTGTGTGTGTGGATATCTCTATGTGTCTGTGGATGTCTCTCTGTGTGTGTGGATGTCTCTGTGTGTGTGTGTGGATGTGTCTCTGTGTGTGGATGTCTCTCTGTGTGTGGATGTCTCTCTCTGTGTGTGTGTGGTTGTCTCTGTGTGTGGTTGTCTCTGTGTGTGTGTGTCTCTGTGTGTGTATGTCTCTCTCTGTGTGTGTGAGTAGTTAGCCGACCGCGCTGTGAACCCAGCAACTCGAGTTTGATTCCCGCTCACGAGCTACCACAGTGACAGTGAATATTCTAGCTGGTTTTGGGCATCCTCTAGGTCGACTCAGACCTTAAATGAGTACATTGTGCGTTGTGTGAACATATCCACGGGGGAGACAAAGCCGGCTCGTGGGCTATGCTGGCCTGCTCGCAATCAACCCTTGCCCCAACAGTCTGTGAAGGTTATACAGGTTACCTTTGTCTCGATACGTATCTGTGTGTGTGTCTGTGTGTGTGTCTGTCTGTGTGTCTGTGTGTGTATCTGTCTGTGTGTCTGTGCCGATGTCTGTCTCTGTCTCTGTGTCTCTCTCTGTGTACACCTGTGTGGTCATCTCCGTACCTGTGTGGTCATCTCCGTACCTGTGTGCATGATGCCATGCGATGCTGAATCATGGGTCTCTGTGACGTAACGCTTTGTCTCTCTGCCTCTGTGTCTCTCTGTGTCATACTGCTGTGTCTCTGTGTCTCTCTGTCTCTCCGTGCCATACTGCTGTGTCTCTGTCTCTGTGTCTGTGTCTTTTTGTCTTTGTGTCTCTCTGTGTCATACTGCTGTGTCTCTCTGCCTCTGTGTGTCTCTGTGTCATACTGTTGTGTCTCTGTGTCTCTCCGTGCCATACTGCTGTGTCTCTGTCTCTGTGTCTCTGTGTCTCTCTGTCCCTGTGTCTCTCTGTGCCATACTGCTGTGTCTCTCTGTCTCTGTGTGTCTCTGTGTCTCTCCGTGCCATACTGCTGTGGTGTGTGTGTCTCTGTCTCTGTGTCTCTCTGTCTCTGTCTCTCTGTGTCTCTCTGTCTCTCCGTGCCATACTGCTGTGTCTCTGTCTCTGTGTCTCTCTGTCTCTGTGTCTCTCCGTGCCATACTGCTGTTGTTTGTGTGTCTCTGTGTCTCTGTCTCTGTGGTGTCTCTGTGGTGTCTCTGTCTCTGTGTCTAGTCTATAACTGGACAGTGGAGGACGTGATCCACTGGCTAGAGCAGATTGTGGAGCTGCCTCAGTACTCAGACATCCTGACACAAAACAACATCGATGGGCCCAGTCTTCCCAGGTGTGTGTACACGCGTGTGCGTGTTTACACGTGTGTGTGCTTGAATGCGTATGTGTGTACACGCATGCGTGTGTGTGTACACGCATGCGTGTGTGTGTACACGCATGCGTGTGTGTGTGTGCACGCATGTGTGTGTGTGCATGCGTGTGTGTGTGCACGCATGCGTGTGTGTGTGTGTGTGTACACGCATGCGTGTGTGTGTGTGTACACGCATGCGTGTGTGTGTGTACACACACACGCATGCGTGTGTGTGTGTGTGTACACGCGTGCGTGTGTGTACATGCATGTGTGTGTGTACGCATGTGTGTGCTTGCGTGCATGTCCACCCGTGTGTACAATAATGGCGATAGTGAATATTGAGGCCCGCCCTGAGCTTCCCCGCGTTGCGCTCATTCTCAAACGAGTCACCTGGTGCGGTTGGCAAACAGCACCGCCGCCGCCGGGGAGACAAAGGCGGCCGGGCGTGGTGCTGGCCACCCGCCCCCTCGTGTGCCACAGTGCCGGCCTTGATCGACGCTGCTGCTCACTAACAGCGCTTGCCCCCACAGCCCGTTCAGGGCTCCACGGGGGCTCTTTGTGTTTTTTGTGTTGCTGTGCACAATGGGCACACGCGTTGCCTGGGCTTGCGTGCGCGTACACGTGTGCCGTGCTGCGCGAATAACACGCCACGCGTTGACTGTGCGTTGCGTGTGCACGTGCGCGAGGGGAGCGATAACAGCAACAACACAGGGCAGAGGAGCGACGCTCACAAAAACGAGCGGAGCTACGGGTGGCTAAAACGCAGCAAGTTGGCACAGTAGGGGGCACAGCTGATGGTGCATCAGCCAGTGGTCATCTCGGTCGGCCAACCCACGGCGCCTGCTGGGTCTGTCCCGAGACCTCCTGCACCTAGCCTGGCACAGGGGGTACAGCTGTTGGTGCATCTACCGGTCGTTTCAGTCGGCCAACCCGTGGTACCTGCTGGGTCTGTCCTGAGACCTCCTGTCCGCAGCGAGCCTTCGACACGTCACGTGGTAGCCTCAAAGTGCACCTGGCAGCCTCAAAGTGCACCTGGCCTGGCACGGGCACAGTGGTGACGTCACCGTCACTTAGTGGCGAATGGCGCGGGTGTTTGTGTGGTGCAGCGGTTAGCGCGCTTGGCCACGACCCCGGCGAGTCGAGTTCGATTCCCGCTCACGGCCAACACCGGTGACGATTATCCGAACCGGTCCCGGGCCTCCCCTAGGTCGACTCGGCCTCAAATGAGCACCCGGTGCGGTGTGTAAACATCGCCACTGGGGAGACAAAGGCGGCCGTGCGTGGTGCTGGCCACCCACCCCCTCGTGCGTCGTGCCGGCTTTCGTAGGCCCTGCTACTCGCTAACGGCACTTGCCCCAGCAGTCTGTTAAGGCTACACGGGGGGTCTTTGTTTCTGTGTCACGTAAGTGTGGGAATTAAAATGACGCAACAGAGGAGGAGGAGGGATCTCGGAGGCAGCTCTGCGACATCCGCTTCCGCGGGCCGCTCTCTTGACGCACGCGGGAGGGCGGCACCGCTCGTGGGAGGTTCACGAGCGGGTCCCTCGACCCCATGGCGACGCCGCTCGATGGCATTCCCGCCGGGAGTGGCGGCGCAGTGGTTGGGGCACCGCGCCCCCAACCCCGGGCGACCGGAGCTCCCGAACACGGCCGACGTCGGTGACGGCGAGCGGCGTCCAAACCGGCCCGGGGGCTGCCCCCCCCCCACCCCCCGACCCGAGACCAACCCGCACTGACCAGCGCGGTGAAGTACAGTCAAACCACCCACATTATTGCGCGTGTTCATTCTGTGTCTCGGTGCGTGTGTCCCCATGTCTCCCCGCGTGTCCCCCGCGTGTCTCCCGCGTGTCTCCCGCGTGTCCCCGTGTCTCCCCCGTGTCTCCCCGCGTGTGTCCCCGTGTGTCCCCGCGTGTCTCCCCGCGTGTCCCCAGGCTGGCCGTGAACAACCAGACCCTCATGTCGGGCGTCCTGAAGATCACCGACCGCAGCCACCGCCAGAAGCTGCAGCTGAAGGCTCTGGATGCCATCCTCTTTGGGACGCCTGCGTGTGAGCCCCCCACACTCAAACCACCACGCCCCCCACACTCAACTCACCACGCCCCCCACACTCAAACCACCACGCCCCCGACACTCAACTCACCACGCCCCCCACACTCAAACCACCACGCCCCCCACACTCAACTCACCACGCCCCCCACACTCAAACCACCACGCCCCCCACACTCAAACCACCACGCCCCCCACACTCAAACCACCACGCCCCCCACACTCAAACCACCACGCCCCCCACACTCAACTCACCACCCCCCCCCCCCACTCAACTCACCACGCCCCCACACTCAACTCACCACGCCCCCCACACTCAAACCACCACGCCCCCCACACTCAAACCACCACGCCCCCCACACTCAACTCACCACCCCCCCCCCCACTCAACTCACCACGCCCCCCACACTCAACTCACCACGCCCCCCACACTCAAACCACCACGCCCCCCACACTCACCACGCCCCCCACACTCAACTCACCACCCCCCCCACTCAAACCACCATGCCCCCCACACTCAACTCACCACGCCCCCCACACTCAACTCACCACGCCCCCCCCCCCCCACTCAAACCACCACGCCCCCCCCCACTCAAACCACCACGCCCCCCACACTCAGCCCCCCCCCTACACTCAGCCCCCCCCCTCACTCAGCCCCCCCCCACACTCAGCACGCCCCCCACTGTGCCCCCCCCCCCGCTGCGTGTGTATCCGTCGCCCGCAGCCACACAGCGGAGCCGCCTCAAGGACCTGCTGCTCATGGTGTCTGTGGTGATGGGCGTGGGTGGCTGCTGGTTCGCCTACATCCAGCACAAGTTCTCACGCGATCACATGAAGAAGATGATGCGTGAGCTGGACAGTCTGCAGCGTGCCGAGCAGAGCCTGCTGGACATGCAGGGCAAGTGAGTGGCCTTGCTCCCCCGGGGGTGGGGGGGTGGTGGGGGGGGGTGGTGGTGGGGGGGGTGGTAGGGGGGTGGTGGAGGGGTGGTGGTGGGTAGGAAGGAGGCCGTCGTCACCTCCTCGCTGGCACAGACCGCTCCTCCACCACTCCCCGTGTCTCCACCCCCTCCACCACTCCCCGTGTCTCCTCCCCCTCCACCACTCCCCGTGTCTCCACCCCCTCCACCACTCCCCGTGTCTCCACCCCCTCCACCACTCCCCGTGTCTCCACCCCCTCCACCACTCCCCGTGTCTCCACCCCCTCCACCACTCCCCGCGTCTCCACCCCCTCCACCACTCCCCCGTGTCTCCACCCCCTCCACCACTCCCCGCGTCTCCACCCCCTCCACCACTCCCCCGTGTCTCCACCCCCTCCACCACTCCCCGTGTCTCCACCCCCTCCACCACTCCCCGTGTCTCCACCCCCTCCACCACTCCCCGTGTCTCCACCCCCTCCACCACTCCCCGTGTCTCCACCCCCTCCACCACTCCCCGCGTCTCCACCCCCTCCACCACTCCCCCGTGTCTCCACCCCCTCCACCACTCCCCGCGTCTCCACCCCCTCCACCACTCCCCCGTGTCTCCACCCCCTCCACCACTCCCCGTGTCTCCACCCCCTCCACCACTCCCCGTGTCTCCACCCCCTCCACCACTCCCCGTGTCTCCACCCCCTCCACCACTCCCCGTGTCTCCACCCCCTCCACCACTCCCCGCGTCTCCACCCCCTCAACCCCTCCCCGTGTCTCCACCCCCTCCACCACTCCCCGTGTCTCCACCCCCTCCACCACTCCCCGTGTCTCCACCCCCTCCACCACTCCCCGCGTCTCCACCCCCTCAACCACTCCCCGTGTCTCCACCCCCTCCACCACTCCCCGCGTCTCCACTCCCTCCACCACTCCCCCGTGTCTCCACCCCCTCCACCACTCCCCGCGTCTCCACCCCCTCCACCACTCCCCGTGTCTCCACCCCCTCCACCCCCTCCACCACTCCCCGTGTCTCCACCCCCTCCACCCCCTCCACCACTCCCCGTGTCTCCACCCCCTCCACCACTCCCCGTGTCTCCACCCCCTCCACCACTCCCCGTGTCTCCTCCCCCTCCACCACTCCCCGTGTCTCCACCCCCTCCACCCCCTCCACTCCCTCCGCAGGCTGCAGAAGGCTCAGGAGGAGCAGAAGCTGGTTGAGGACGAGAAGCGCCACCTGGAGACGAAGCTTCGCTGGGAGGTGACGGAGAAGCAGCAGCGGCGTGAGCAGCAGCAGCAGCAGCAGCAGCACGAGGCGCAGCAGCACGGAGATGCCGAGGGGGAGCAGATGCGGCGCAGGTTCGCGGAGGAGGAGCTGGAGCAGGTGGGGACTGCGCGGGGGACACGCGGGGGGACACACGGTGACACGCAGTGACACGCGGTGACACACGGGAGACACGATGACATGCACGGACACACACAGGGACACACACACACAGAGACACACACACAGACACATACACACTCACACACACACTCAACAACAACAACCGCCATTCGCCACTAAGTGGCGGTGACGTCACCACGACGCTTGTGCCAGGCTATGTGCACCCTGAGGCCACGTGAAGTGTCGAACGCCCGCTGGCAGGAGGTCACGGGGCAGACCCAGCAGGTGCCACGGGGCGACTGACTGAGATGACTGGCTGATGCACCACCTGTGCCCCCTACTGTGCCAACCTGCTGTGCTTTAGCCACACGGCGCTCCGCTCGTTGTTGTGAGCGTCGCTCCTCCGCCCTCCGTTGTTGTTGGAGGGCGACTGCCTCCAACTGCCCAGTAGCATCCTTCACGAGCCTCCTCCACAGAGGCCGATCTTGACACCGCTGGTACCAGTCATCAGCAAGTCCACTCAGCTCCACGTCCTCCTGCACCACATCACTCCATCTCTTCTCTAGCCCGTGCCGCGCCCGCTTAGCCCCCTCAATCCGGCCAAACAAAAGCTGTTTCGGCATGCGGTGGCTGGGCATGCGGGCTACATGACCCAGCCATCGCAGCCTTGCCTGCCGGAGGAGCTCACCGATGGGACCCTGCCCAGATCTTTCAAGGATTTGTGAGCTCCTCACACAATCCAGTCTGGTTAAACCCAGGATGGATCGTAGGCAGGCCAGCCTAAATGTTTCTAACCGGCGAAGATGTTCCATTACGGGGGTCCACGTTTCACACACACACACACACACACAGGGACACACACAGGGACACACACACAGGGACACACACACACACACAGGGACACACACAGGGACACACACACACACACAGGGACACACACACACACAGGGACACACACACAAACACAGAGACACACACACAGTGACACACACACAGGGACACACACACACAGGGACACACACACAGAGACACACAGGGACACACACACAGTGACACACAAAACAAAGATCCCCCATATAGCCTTAACAGACTGTAGGGGCAAGTGCTGTTAGCGAGCACCTATGAAGGCCAGAACGGTACACGAGGGGGTGGGTGGCCAGCACCACGCCCGACCGCCTTTGTCTCCCTAGTGGCAATGTTTACACACCGCACCAGGTACTCATTTGAGGCTGAGTCGACCTAGGGGAGGCCCGGGACCGGTTCAGATAATCGTCACTGATGTTGGCCGTGAGCGGGAATCGAACCCGGGTCGCCAGGTTCATAGCGCAGCGCGCTAACCGCTACACTATCGCTCCCCATACAGTGACACACACACAGTGACACACACACACACAGTGACACACACACAGAGACACACACACACACACAGTGACACAACAACAACAACAACAACAACCGCCATTCGCCACTAAGTGGCGGTGACGTCACCACGACGCTTGTGCCAGGCTATGTGCACCCTGAGGCCACGTGAAGTGTCGAACGCCCGCTGGCAGGAGGTCACGGGGCAGACCCAGGTGCCACGGGTCGACTGACTGAGATGACTGGCTGATGCACCACCTGTGCCCCCTACTGTGCCAACCTGCTGTGCTTTAGCCACCCGGCGCTCCGCTCGCTGTTGTGAGCGTCGCTCCTCCGCCCTCCGTTGTTGTTGGAGGGCGACTGCCTCCAACTGCCCAGTAGCATCCTTCACGAGCCTCCTCCACAGAGGCCGATCTTGACACCGCTGGTACCAGTCATCGGCAAGTCCACTCAGCTCCACGTCCTCCTGTACCACATCACTCCATCTCTTCTCTAGCCCGTGCCGCGCCCGCTTAGCCCCCTCAATCCGGCCAAACAAAAGCTGTTTCGGCATGCGGTGGCTGGGCATGCGGGCTACATGACCCAGCCATCGCAGCCTTGCCTGCCGGAGGAGCTCACCGATGGGACCCTGCCCAGATCTTTCAAGGATTTGTGAGCTCCTCACACAATCCAGTCTGGTTAAACCCAGGATGGATCGTAGGCAGGCCAGCCTAAATGTTACTAACCGGCGAAGATGTTCCATTAGGGGGGTCCACGTTTCGCAAGCGTAGAGAAGGGAGGGAATGACCGTGGCCGAGAAGACCTGAAGCTTAGTGCGGAGCGACAGACCAGGTAGCTTCCACACAGCGTTACGCAACCGATGAAAAGATATTGCCGCTCGACTGATTCGGAGTGAGACCTCTGCTGTTAAACTGGAGCTAGTCATAAGCACACTGCCCAGGTATGGGAAACTCTCCACTCTCTCCACAACTGCCCCATCACCGATTGGGAGTTGTGGGGGTGGAGTGTCCGATGGTACAAAATACCCAGGCAGGAGCTTAGTTTTGGTGGGGCTGATGGTAAGGCCCCACCTCTTAGTGGCACGCTCCAGTCTCAGCAGCAGCGTCTCCAACTCCTCCTCTGACTGAGCAGCTATTACCAAGTCATCAGCATACATAACGTGGTCGAGCAATAGGGAGCCATCCCTTGACCGCACCCGGGCATCGATTAGCCTCCCATTATATCTGTACCATATGGAGATTCCCCCGGTACAGCTATTGAAGGCTTCACGAACTACGTGGTCAAAATAGATGTTAAATAATGTGGGAGCCAGAGGACATCCCTGTCGCACCCCAAGGTGTACAGGGAATGGCTCTGACTCCCGGCCACGTAGTTTTACCCGGGCCCGCTCACCATCATGAAGGTCCTTAATGATCGTGAGCAGAGGGTCAGGTACTCCAAAAGCACGAAGAACGACCCAGAGCCCAGGCCTACTGATGGTATCATAGGCCTTGACCAGGTCAATAAAGCAGAGATGTAGGTCTTGTTGGAATTCCCTACACCTCTGCTGTAGCAGACGGACAGAAAATATGGCATCTGTGCAGGACCGCCCTTTCCTGAAACCGCATTGGGGCTCCGCAAGCCTCTCCTCAGCGTGCCTGGCAAGGCGATGCTGAATAATCCTTGCCAGGACCTTTCCCGGCACACTGAGGAGTGAGATGCCCCTGTAGTTGTTACAGTCTGTGCGGTCCCCCTTCTTAAAAAGGGGGACCACCAGGGCATCCTTCCAATCCTGCGGAACCCGTCCAGTGGTCCAGACTGTTGTTATGATGTCATATAGGGCAGTCTGTGCACAAACGCCACCCTCCCTCAGCATTTCGCTTGGGAGATCATCTCTGCCCGCTGCCTTTCCTGGTCTCAGACTCCGGATCGCCTTCAATACTTCCTCAGCAGATGGCACCTCAGCCAGCCACTCACAGGGGGTGACTTCATCCAATATTTGAGGCACCGCAGCCTCAGCAGGGTCATCCTCACTTTGTGCCACGATGTTTTCCTGGCTGAGGGATTTTCCCTCCCCCAGGACCTCACAGAAATGCTCAGCAAATCTGCGAACCTGTTCCTGGGGGTCGGAAATTGGATCACCGTTTTTTCCCCTAATGATGGTAATAGGTGTGGCGCTGCAGGTTACTTTTTTGATGGAGTTAAATAGAGATTTGTGATCACGGGCCACTGAGGCAGACTCCATCTCCTCAGCAACCCGCGACCACCACCCATCCTTGCAGCGCCTCACGGCTCTCCGAACCTCCGAGCGAAGGCTGCGGTAAGCCTCCTCATTCTCTGACGTGGGATTCTGTAGCCGATGACAGTGGGCCTGTCGCTTTTTCTCAACCATCGTGAACAACTCCTCTGTCATCCAGGGTGTCTGGGGAGGTCTGGACCGCGTACCCAAAGCAGCCATTGCAGCTGCATGAGTCACAGTCCTAAACCTCGCCCATTTACCCTCGACATCAGGAGGAGTCGGGGACGATGCCAATCCCAGCCGCAAGCGATGATGAAATTCTCGCTTGCAACTTTCATCAGATAACTGAGACCAGGCCACTTTAGGTTGGAATGGGGTCCTGGGTGTACACCCACCACCGGAGTGGAAGAATGGCAGGCGCATCTTACAGATGACTAGTCGATGGTCAGAGGGCAGATCAGCTCCACGGTAGGTCCTGGTGTCAAGGACATGGGCTCGCATTCGCTGGTCCGTCACTATGTAGTCCAGCAGATGTTCTTGCTTGGACCCGGCATGCATCCATGATGTTGTGTGGATGCGCCGATGCCAGAACAGCGTGTTGGTAATTACAAGCCCATGGGCTGCACAAAAATCTAGCAGCCTCCTACCGTTGTTATTGAGCTGATCTGGCCCATGCCCTCCAATCACTCCAGACCAGGTGCCAGTATCATGACCAACTCGGGCATTGAAGTCACCCAACATGATGACTCTATCCCGAGGGGCCACTTTAGCCAGCACCTGTGACAGGAGGTCATAGAAGGCATCTGACTCATCGGCTTTGCCTGCATCCCTCCACGGATGTTCATCTTCGGTGGGGGCATAAGTAACCACGACCACCATTCCTCGCCTCCGGTTGATGGGAAGGCGAGCCCAAAGTAGCCTGGGGCTTACAGCTTCCCACACCTCACCACCACGCTCCCACGCCCCCTTCATTCTTTTGTTCAAAAGAAGACCCACACCCTGTTGTTTGGCAGTCTGCTGCCCCGAGTAGAGGACTGTCCACCCCTCATGGTGGCAGGAGCCAGAGCCGGTCCACCGGACCTCCTGAATGCCGCATAGATCCAGGCGGTACCGGTCCAGCTCCCGACAGAGGAGTGGCAGCCTCTCCTCTGCAGTGAGCGTTCGAACATTCCACGTGGCCAACCGTAGTGGCTTTTCGTTGTTTCTGGAGTAGCCCCGAGGGTAGGTATTCAATCTCCTGGCTCCGCCAATTGGGGTTTGGCCAGGAGACGTCATAGACGCCTGGCCCCCCGGGGCCTCCGGCACAAGCTTAGTTGTTACATATTTCAGTTTAATTCGTAGTTTCGTGGTAATTAATTGAAGGTGGAGGGGTTACCAGCCCCTCGCACCCGTCCAGAGCCCCCGTTTAGCCCCTGTGGTGGACACATATGCCATGAGGGGAGGAGCCAATCAAAATTGGATCTCCCCCCACAGCGCTGTCCACGACAGAGTTGCCCGTCCGGCACCGCGAGGAGGTAGGGGGTTGTTTTGCCAGTGACACACACACAGTGACACACACACACAGTGACACACACAGTGACACACACAGTGACACACACACACAGGGACACACACACACACAGTGACACACACACAGTGACACACACACACACAGTGACACACACACACAGTGACACACACACAGTGACACACACACAGGGACACACACACAGTGACACACACAGTGACACACACAGTGACACACACACAGTGACAAAACAAAACAAAGATCCCCCATATAGCCTTAACAGACTGTAGGGGCAAGTGCTGTTAGCGAGCACCTATGAAGGCCGGAACGGTACACGAGGGGGTGGGTGGCCAGCACCACGCCCGACCGCCTTTGTCTCCCTAGTGGCAATGTTTACACACCGCACCAGGTACTCATTTGAGGCTGAGTCGACCTAGGGGAGGCCCGGGACCGGTTCAGATAATCGTCACTGGTGTTGGCCGTGAGCGGGAATCGAACTGGGTCGCCAGGTTCATAGCGCAGCGCGCTAACCGCTACACTATCGCTCCCCACAATGACACACACACAGTGACACACACAGTGACACACACAGTGACACACACACAGTGACACACACACAGTGACACACACACAGTGACACACACAGTGACACACACACAGTGACACACACACAGTGACACACACACAGAGACACACACACACAGTGACACACACACAGTGACACACACACACACAGTGACACACACACACACACAGTGACACCCACGGCGAGGGGTGACGCCGTCACCGCTGTGCCCCCCCAGGTGCGCCGCAGCCTGCGCCGTGCGGAGCAGGAGCTGGAGGCGGTGCGCCGCTCGGGGGTGCCGACGGTGCTGCAGGCCTGGCTGCAGCTGACGCACGAGGTGGAGCTGCAGTACTACAACCTGCAGAAGATGGAGGCCGAACGCCAGCTGAGCGCCGCCAAGGAAGTGGTGAGGCCCGGCCGCCCCGGGGTACGGCGGCGTCGCCGTTATCGTAGCCAAGTCGCTACGTCGCTATCGCCATCGTCATCGTCATCGTCGCTACGTCGCCATCATCATTGTCATCGTCGCTACATCGCTATCGCCATCATCATGGTCATTGTCGCTACATCGCCATCGTCATTGTCATCGTCATCGTCGCTACACCACTATCGCCATCATCATCGTCATCGTCGCTACATCGTCATCGTCACTACATCGCCATCGTCATCATCACTACATCACTATCGTCATTGTCATCGTCATCGTCGCTACATCACTATCGCCATCATCATCGTCATCGTCGCTACATCACTATCGTCATCGTCATCATCGCTACACCACTATCGCCATCATCATCGTCATCGTCGTTACATCGCTATCGCCATCATCATCATCATCGTCGCTACATCGCCATCGTCATTGTCATCGTCGCCACATCACTATCGCCATCTTCATCGCCGCCACATCAACATCGTCGTCATCATCATCAACATCATCATCAACGTCACCCCCTCGCCGCGCGCCGTGCCGGCCTTCACAGGCGCTGTTCGCGAAGCAGCACTTTCCCCAACAGTCTGTTGGAGGCTACACGGGGGACCTTTGTGTTTGTGTCCTCGGCGCCCACGCGCGCCCGTGCGTGCGTAGCCGCGGACGCTTGCTCAGCGACAGGGGAGTGGCACTTGGTGATAACTCAGTGTAGGGGCTGTGGGAGCGTGGAGGTGAAGCGTGGCCAGCTGTTGGCTCATGTCCAATCTGTTGAGGAAGTGTGGACCCGTGTGTGTGTTTGTGTGTACCCACGTGTGTGTTTGTGTGTACCCACATGTGTGTGTTTGTGTGTACCCACGTGTGTGTATTTGTGTGTACCCACGTGTGTGTGTCTGTGTGTACCCACGTGTGTGTGTCTGTGTGTACCCACGTGTGTGTGTGTTTGTGTGCACCCACGTGTGTGTGTCTGTGTGTACCCACGTGTGTATGTATGTGTGTACCCACGTGCGTGTGTCTGTGTGTACCCATGTGTGTGTGTTTGTGTGTACCCGTGCGTGTGTTTGTGTGTACCCACGTGTGTGTGTTTGTGTGTACCCACGTGCGTGTGTCTGTGTGTACCCACGTGTGTGTGTGTTTGTGTGTACCCGTGTGTGTGTCTGTGTGTACCCACGTGTGTGTGTGTGTTTGTGTGTACCCGTGCGTGTGTTTGTGTGTACCCGCATGCATGTGTTTGTGTGCACCCGCATGCGTGTGTAACTATGTGCACGCGTGTAACTGTGTGAGTGTAACTGTGTGTGCGTGTGTAACCGTGTGTGCGTGTGTAACTGTGTGTGTGAGTGTAACCGCGTGTAACCGCGTGTGCGTGTGTAACCGCGTGTAACTGTGTGTGCGTGTGTAACCGTGTGTAACCGTGTGTGCGTGTGTAACCACGTGTAACTGTGTGTGCGTGTGTAACTGTGTGTGCGTGTGTAACTGTGTGTGCATGTGTAACCGCATGTAACCGTGTGTGTCTGTGTAACTGTGTGTGCGTGTGTAACAGCGTGTAACTGTGTGTGCGTGTGTAACCACATGTAACCGTGTGTAACCGCGTGTAACTGTGTGTGCGTGTGTAACAGCGTGTAACTGTGTGTGCGTGCGTAACCGCGTGTAACTGTGTGTGCGTGTGTAACCGCGTGTAACTGTGTAACTGTGTGTGCGTGTGTAACCGCGTGTAACTGTGTGTGCGTGTGTAACCGCGTGTAACTGTGTGCGTGTGTAACCGCGTGTAACTGTGTGTGCGTGTGTAACCACGTGTAACTGTGTGTGCGTGTGTAACCACGTGTAACTGTGTGTGCGTGTGTAACCGCGTGTAACTGTGTGTGCGTGTGTAACTGTGTGTGCGTGTGTAACTGTGTGTGCGTGTGTAACCGCGTGTAACTGTGTGTGTGTGCGTAACCGAGTGTAACTGTGCGTGCGTGTGTAACCGCGTGTAACTGTGTGTGCGTGTGTAACTGTGTGTGCGTGTGTAACCGTGTGTAACCGCGTGTAACTGTGTGTGCGTGCGTAACCGAGTGTAACTGTGCGTGCGTGTGTAACCGCGTGTAACTGTGTGTGCGTGTGTAACCGCGTGTAACTGTGTGTGCGTGTGTAACCACGTGTAACTGTGTGTACGTGTGTAACCGCGTGTAACTGTGCGTGCGTGTGTAACCGCGTGTAACTGTGTGTGCGTGTGTAACCGCGTGTAACTGTGTGTGCGTGTGTAACCGCGTGTAACTGTGTGTGCGTGCGTAACCGCGTGTGTGCGAGTGTAACCGCGTGTGCGTGTGTAACTGTGTGTGCGTGTGTAACCGCGTGTAACTGTGTGTGCGTGTGTGACCGCGTGTAACTGTGTGTGCGTGTGTGACCGCGTGTAACTGTGTGTGCGTGTGTGACCGCGTGTAACTGTGTGTGCGTGTGTGACCGCGTGTAACTGTGTGTGCGTGTGTGACCGCGTGTAACTGTGTGTGCGTGTGTGACCGCGTGTAACTGTGCGTGCGTGCGTGCGCCCGCTCAGGCTGAGAAGATTAACCGCAAGCGTAACTCGGTGCTGGGCACGTTCTACGTGGCACACAGCTCCTCACTCGACGAGGTCGACCACAAGATCCTCTCGGCCAAGTGAGACTCGCGGGGGGGGGGGGGGGCGGGGCACTGTGTGTGTACTGTGTGTGTACTGTGTGTGTACTGTGTGTGTACTGTGTGTGTGTGTACTGTGTGTGTGTACTGTGTGTACTGTGTGTGTACTGTGTGTGTGTACTGTGTGTGTGTACTGTGTACTGTGTGTGTGTACTGTGTGTGTACTGTGTGTGTGTACTGTGTGTGTGTACTGTGTACTGTGTGTGTACTGTGTGTGTACTGTGTGTGTGTGTGTACTGTGTGTGTGTACTGTGTGTACTGTGTGTACTGTGTGTGTACTGTGTGTGTACTGTGTGTGTGTGTGTACTGTGTGTTTGTACTGTGTGTACTGTGTGTACTGTGTGTGTACTGTGTGTGTACTGTGTGTGTGTGTGTACTGTGTGTTTGTACTCTGCGTGCTGTCACCCGTTGCAGGCAGGCGCTGAACGAGGTGACGAGCAGCCTGCGTGAGCGTCTGCACCGCTGGCAGCACATTGAGCACGTGTGTGGCTTCCACATCGTCAACAACGCCGGGCTCGCCGCACTGCACACGCGCCTCTACGACGAGAGCCCGCAGGACGGTGCGTGTACGTGTGCGTCTACACGTCTGTGTGTGTGTGCACGTCTGTGTGTGTCTACACGTCTGTGTGTGTGTGTGTACACGTCTGTGTGTGTCTACACGTCTGTGTGTGTGTGTGTACACGTCTGTGTGTGTCTACACGTCTGTGTGTGTGTGTGTGTGTACACGTCTGTGTGTGTCTACACGTCTGTGTGTGTGTGTGTACACGTCTGTGTGTGTCTACACGTCTGTGTGTGTGTGTGCGTGTACACGTCTGTGTGTGTGTGTCTACACGTCTGTGTGTGTGTCTACACGTCTGTGTGTGTGTGTACACGTCTGTGTGTGTGCGCGTCTACACGTCTGTGTGTGTGTGTGCGTGTACACGTCTGTGTGTGTGTACACGTCTGTGTGTGTGTGTGTCTACACGTCCGTGTGTGTGTGTCTACACGTCTGTGTGTGTGTGTACACGTCTGTGTGTGTCTACACGTCCGTGTGTGTGTGTGTGTCTACACGTCTGTGTGTGTGTACACGTCTGTGTGTGTGTGTACACGTCTGTGTGTGTGCGTGTACACGTCTGTGTGTGTGCGTGTACACGTCTGTGTGTGTGTACACGTCTGTGTGTGTCTACACGTCTGTGTGTGTCTACACGTCTGTGTGTGTGTACACGTCTGTGTGTGTGTGTGTACACGTCTGTGTGTGTACCCGTCTGTGTGTGCGTGTACACGTCTGTGTGTGTGCGTGTACACGTCTGTGTGCGTGTACACGTCTGTGTGCATGTGTACATGTCTGTGTGCATGTGTACACATCTGTGTGTGTACCCGTCTGTGTGGGTGTGTGTATACGTCATAAATTTGGAGTCAAGAGAAAAGAGCGGTGGCCATCCGATGGAGAGACTGTCGCCTGCCATAGTAACGTGGATCTTCCACCCTTGTCGCTGTTTTACAGACGAACCCCTCAGCCCCATCACCAGTCCGCCCTCCATGATCGTGACGCAGCCGTCCCTCTCGTCGCCGTCGCCGCCCCAGCCGACCAATCACGTGACGGTCGACAGCCACATGACCCGATTGCCGGCCAATAAGACTCCGTCGCCGGTGTCCCGGCGTCACGTGAGCTCCCACATGCCGCTCTCCGATTGGTCGCGGGCCGCGTCACACGACCAGCTGCCCTCCTCCGGTTACGAGCGAGACTCCATGATCGTGTTCTCGGCCTCTTCCAGCTGGTGAGGGTCGACCTCCGTCCGTCCGTCTGCGTGTAACGTGGGGTCACGGTAACTCTGTCTGAGACGATCCGATGTCGGTGAGAACTCGTCGCGTGTCAAGGTTTGTGTTGCTGTCGGGGACTCATCCCGGAGGGAAAACGAGCGCGTTGACCGTAGGGGATTTACGTAGAAACTCCTTGCGGACCAAAAAAAACCAGAGCTAAAAAGGCCGGGACCGGTTCAGATAATCGTCACCGGTGCTGCTTGCCGTGAGCGGCAATCGAACTCGGATCGCAGCCGGATTTGTGGCGCAGAGCCGCTAACCGCTCCACTACCACTACACACACTCACTCTCTCTTGCTCTCTCTCACTCTCTCACTCACTCTCCCACTCTCTCACTCTCCCTCTCTCCCCTCACTCTCTCTCTCCACCACGCAGGCCTCACTCCAGCATGGAGTCTCTCCTCTCCACGGCCTCCGCTCCTCCGGGTCCAGTCTCCTTCCACTCCTTGGCCTCCCTCCCCCCGTGCGGCGGTGGGGGCGGAGGTGGTGGCGCGGGGGCCTCCCAGCAGCACCACGCCCCCTCCCACGCCACCCCGCACCTCCTGCAGCACCACCACCACCTGCACCACCTGCAGCCTCCGCAGCCTTCGCAGCAGCAGCAGCTGCAGCAGCAGCAGCAGCAGCTGCAGCAGCAGCAGCTGCACCAGCAGCAGCAGCAGCAGCTGCAGCAGCAGGCGGCCCCGCCGGGTGCCGTCCTCGCGGCTCACGACGACGCCGACGAGAGCGACAGCAGCAACAACAGCGGCGGCAGCCTCGCCGAGTCGGCCGCCGCCGCCGCCGCCGTCCTCGGCCCGGCCCCCGGGGCGCCGCGCCCGGCGGGCGAAGCGGCGAGAGCGGACGACTCCTCGTCCGTGTCCGATTTCAAGTTGGGCCGCAAGTCCCGGATAGCTCGCCTCTTCAAGAAGACGAGCAGCTAGCCGTCGCGACGCTCGCGCCCCGTCGCCGCGCCCGCCCGCCCGCCCGCCCGCCCGCCCGCCCGCTCGCGCGATCGTCCGTTCCGTTCCGTCGCCGATCGCCCGATCGGCCCGTCCGTCCGACCGTGCGACGTGGTAACCGCAGCGTGCGTGCGTGCGTGCGCTGTATTTTTTGTCTTTTATTTTTTTATCCCGAGTTGTCTTTGACCTATTTGCTTGAACCAAAACAACATGGAACGCGAGAGTGCACTCTAAAGAAAAGGCAGGAACCCACAAACAAAAACACTTTTGGGTAAATTGTTTTGGTTCGCGGCCGCGTCGTTGCAGCCAGCGCCAAAGTTCGACTGCCTACAAATATCGATCGTTAATTCGTCACGAGCCGTGATCGGTCCACTGCTGGATGAAGGCCTCAACCAATCCGCCGCCGCCTCGTGCCATCCCGCGACGTGGCAAAGCGCCACCGGCGCCCGGAACGCACCGCGGTGCTCGCCGCCGCTCGCTGGCACCGCGGCCCGGCACGCCGCTGCCCCTCGCAGAGGCGACGGCGGCATCGGCCTCCCCGCCGGTGGGTTCGCGACGCGTTGCCCTGCGGCTTTCACAAAATGGTTTTCGCTCGGGACCCGGACGAGGAACGTTTCGGCGACGCCACCCGCACGAAATCGGCTCTCCCTGCCGAGACCCGGCCACGTTTTCCAGTTGATTTTGCGTCGCTCGGGAGAGAGAGACCAGCAAGAGCGTCAGTCGCAGGAGCGACCCGGGGAGGTGGTGGGGGGGGGCGTTAGTCCGCTGCCGGTAGAGCCCCGGTGAATTTTCCGATACGCGAACCGTGCACACCGAGTCACTTGCGGCATCGGGGGGGGGGGGGGGGGGGGGTGGAGGGTGACAACTTTGCTGTGTGCGTAAGTTACCAAAAAAACAGATCCGAAAGTGTTCCTTTTTATTGCCGGAATACGAGTTCATTCATTTTCAGCGCGAAGCTCAGCGCTGCTTCCGCGCGCCGGGCCTGGCTTCACGCCCGGCTGTGACCGCGCGGCCAGGACGTGGGGCGGTCGTCGCGTGAAGCCGGCGGATGTGACGAGACGTCGGGCCGCCCCGGTTAAACCCCGCCGATCGGCGGGAGAAAGTCTCCCCGCCGTCACCGCCGCGTGCTCGCGTCTTCAGAGGTCGCCACGCGTCTCTCCGCCCGCCCGTCCGTCCGCCCGCCCGTCCGCCCGTTGTTTTCTCCACTGCAGGGAGCGGCGCCGCGTGTCGGCGACGCCGCGCCCTCGCCGATGTCACGACACCCCCCCCCCCCCCCCTGCGGCGAGCGCGTCGCTAGCCCCCGCCGCCCCCCTACGCCGGCCCTGCCTGGCTCCGAGCAAGATCCACAGCTTGCTCGAGGGCCGGCAGCGAGTCACGGTTCGGTAAGCGGCTCGGCTCGGCAACTAAAGCCGGCGGTAAAAACCACGCGTGCCACGATGGCACCCCCCCGCCCCCGCCACCCTGCGCCGCTCGACAAAACGTGGGCACCGGAAGGCGGTCGGTGTCGATATTCGGCGTGCAGGCAGCGGCGGAAGCTTGCGCGGCGTTTAGACTCGTCACCCTCGGTGTGGCGGAGTGCGGTGTCGATACGCTGCGGGCGCCTGCGTCGTGCCGTGCGTGCGTATGTGTGTGTGTGTGTGCGTGTGTGTGCGCGTGTGTGTGTGCGCGTGAAGCACAGGGTGGCGACTGCCTGTTTTTAGTGTTTGCTCAGATTAAATACGTTGATCCGCATCGACACAGAACTGACGCACGCACGCGTAGCACGCACGCACGCCTAGCACGCACGCACGTGTAGCACGCACGCACGTGTAGCACGCACGCACGGGTAGCACGCACACACGCGTAGCCCTCACGCGTAGCTCTCACGCGTAGCCCGCACGCGTAGCCCGCACGCATAGCACGCACCCACGCGTAGCACGCACGCCCCGGCACGGCGCACGAGGGAGTGTGGGCGGCCAGCTCCACGCCGCGGCCATCCGGGCACTCATTCCGGGCTGAGTCGACCTAGGGGAGGCCCGCGACCGGTTCAGATAATCGTCACGCCGGCCGGCGTTGGTGGCCGCGAGCGGGAATCGAACTTCAGTCTCCGGCTTGGGGCGCGTGCGCGCTGGCCACGGTTCGCGACGCGCAGCTGTGACGTCGCGAGATGATTTGTTTTTTGCATGAAGCGCTACGCGCGTGCGCGTGTACGGACACGTGTGTGTGTGTACGTAGACGCGTGTGTGTGTACGTAGACGCGTGTGTGTGTGTACGTAGACGCGTGTGTGTGTACGTAGACGCGTGTGTGTGTGTACGTAGACGCGTGTGTGTATGTACGTAGACACGTGTGGGTGTGTAGATGCGTGTGTGTGTGTAGATGCGTGCGCGTGTACGGACACGTGTGTGTGCGTAGATGCGTGTGTGTGTGTAGATGCGTGTGTGTGTAGATGCGTGTGTGTGTAGATGCGTGTGTGTGTGTAGATGCGTGTGTGTGTGTAGATGCGTGTGCGTGTGTAGATGCGTGTGCGTGTGTAGATGCGTGTGCGTGTGTAGATGCGTGTGTGTGTGTAGATGCGTGTGTGTGTGTAGATGCGTGTGTGTGTGTAGATGCGTGTGTGTGTGTAGATGCGTGCGTGTGTGTAGATGCGTGTGTGTAGATGCGTGTGTGTAGATGCGTGTGTGTGTAGATGCGTGTGTGTGTAGATGCGTGTGCGTGTGTAGACGCGTGTGCGTGTGTAGACGCGTGTGTGTGTGTAAACGCGTGTGTGTGTGTAGACGCGTGTGTGTGTGTGTGTAGATGCGTGTGTGTGTGTGTAGATGCGTGTGTGTGTGTAGATGCGTGTGTGTGTGTAGATGCGTGTGTGTGCGTAGATGCGTGTGTGTGTGTAGATGCGTGTGTGTGTAGATGCGTGTGTGTGTAGATGCGTGTGTGTGTGTAGATGCGTGTGTGTGTGTAGATGCGTGTGCGTGTGTAGATGCGTGTGCGTGTGTAGATGCGTGTGCGTGTGTAGATGCGTGTGTGTGTGTAGATGCGTGTGTGTGTGTAGATGCGTGTGTGTGTGTAGATGCGTGTGTGTGTGTAGATGCGTGCGTGTGTGTAGATGCGTGTGTGTAGATGCGTGTGTGTAGATGCGTGTGTGTGTAGATGCGTGTGTGTGTAGATGCGTGTGCGTGTGTAGACGCGTGTGCGTGTGTAGACGCGTGTGTGTGTGTAAACGCGTGTGTGTGTGTAGACGCGTGTGTGTGTGTGTGTAGATGCGTGTGTGTGTGTGTAGATGCGTGTGTGTGTGTAGATGCGTGTGTGTGTGTGTGTGTAGATGTGTGTGTGTGTGCGAGCATGTCGCTTTCTGCATATTTATTCCGGGATTTCTACCCCGGTTCCGTTTGTTACCACGGTCGCGCCGTGAGAAAGTTTTGCCTTAGCGAGTCTGTGCGTGTGTCCTGTCCCCACCCCCCCGCCATCACCCCCCCACCATCACCCCCCCACCATCACCCCCCCACCATCACCCTTCCCCTCCCATCCACAAAAGCTTCCCCGGGGGGATGGAGGTGAAGCCTCGGCGATCGGGCCGCTCCGCGTGACGATGTTCATTTCACGAAGAGCCGTTCACGTCAACTTGATCTGAAGCGCCGTGCGGACAGGGGGCACGTAGGACAATAGCCGCTCTTGGCCGCTCGTGGTTAAGAACTGCTACGGCGTTGGTAACGAAATTCATAACGGATAACATTGACAGCGACTTTTATTTGAAGGCTTCCCCCGTGACCGATGCTCGCGCTAACTCTTCTCCGCGCTTTGGTGAGATCGTCCTGTGGGTATCGCGTGTTTATTTATTACACCACCCATCGAGAGAGCCTCTCGAGCCGGGGTCCACAGGTCACGGGGGGGAATGTGCCGGCGGATTCGAAGTCGTGTCGGCGGAACGCCGAAGCGTCTCGACGATTCGTTGTCGTCGTACGAGCGACGTTTTCGCCGGAGGTTGCGGCCCGGCATCGTCGGGCCGCTCGGCGAGGGCTCGGCTGAAGCCTCTCTCCACACGCGACGGAGCGATTAGCACGGTGGTTGGATACGTACGTTGCGATAGAAGTTCAACATGCAGACATTCAACCCATAGACTAATACTGCTCATAGACTCAACACTGCTCATAGACTCAACACTGCCCATAGACTCAACACTGCCCATAGACTCAACACTGTCCATAGACTCAACATTGCCCATAGACTCAACACCACCCATTGACTCAACACCGTCCATAGACTCAACATTGCCCATAGACTCAACACTGCCCATAGACTCAACACTGCTCATAGACTCAACACTGCCCATAGACTAACACTGCCCATAGACTCAACACTGCCCATAGACTCAACACTGCTCATAGACTCAACACTGCCCATAGACTAACACTGCCCATAGACTCAACACTGCTCATAGACTCAATACTGACCATAGACTCAACACTGCCCATAGACTAACACTGCCCATAGAGTAATAGGTTTTAACCTTTTAGCTGGCACAAAAACTGACACCTTTATACAAGGCATCATGTTTGCAATAACCACAACACAAGCAGTCAAAAATGCAAACAAAAAGAAACAACTCTGATAATAATATGCACTGCCCTTGAATTTGATTGGTCCACACCCGTGATGGCTTTTCTTAGAGCCTGGTCTCCACTGGTGTTGGACCAGATGACACCATAAGGTGTACAACTCAAAAACAGCGCACTATCAGAGTATTGAGAGCTCGGGGTAAGCCTTTACATTATGAGACCTCCTTTGCCCATAGACTCAACACTACCCATAGACTAACACTACCTATAGACTCAACACTGCCCATAGATTAACACTACCCATAGACTAACACTACCCATAGACTAACACTGCCCATAGACTCAATTCTACCCATAGACTCAACACTGCCCATAGACTAACACTACCCATAGATTAACACTGCCCATCGACTCAACACTACCCATAGATTAACACTAACCCATGGACTCAA